GAGGCATAAAATGCTAGTCGTATTCTGAACTACAATGATGAGATTATTTGGATTATATGTCATCTATCATAATTACAGCAAAAATATTTATATATGATGACTTTGTTATCTCCAGATATTTAAGGCTACAAAGTGCCATTGAATAATTTCATATTGAAGGGTGTAAATTAATTATCAGTTAGATAGAAGTACTAGAATTTTCGTAAAGAATTGCTTGTTGTTTTGAGTATCATAAACAATGGAGAGACTTAATATGTTACATGAATCAAACTGAATCGTTTAGGAAAAACAAATATATATTCTCCAAAATATTAATTAAAAGCTAGTTTTTTTTATGAAAAATAGAATTTTTTTAATATTTTTACTGATATATGAATAATCACATGATTCTTAACATAAAATAGTAGTTGTCAAATATTCAGAGAGTGTAATTGATTAGAGACGTGTATACTCAGCATACTTATCAGCGATTTCATTTGTCAAATATTTTTATAATGACTCGGTAATAATTTGTCATTCCTTGTTAAAGATTTCCCCACTTCAGAAAACTTGATTTGCGTCAAAAAAAAATAATTTTTTTGCATGAAAATATGAACATATTGCCTGAGTTGCCTAATATATGAATTCACAAAAAGAGGTTTGATTCTCAAAAGTTTTACGAATAATTTTTGAAACTATTTGGATAAACAATGATCTTGAAAGCAATGAGTAAACATCATTTTCTTTTTAGAGTTACATCTGAAAAATAAATATTTTCAGAAGAAAGTCAAATCTCACACATCTTAGCGATACACTTTTGAGATATATAATGACTTGAAAATGTAGGCGTAGATTTTCTCTTCTTGCACACCCTACATACATCTATATCTGCAGGAATATTTGATACACATTTAGACCTACAGGAAAATTCCATGCACGTTAACACTCACACTTTCATCCGTGCCTGGAAAGCAGATCCTTTATATAAAATAAAACACAATATTTATTATGACTTGCTAGTAGAAACCAATCTTTATTATTAGTCGTTAAAAAAATTTAAAGGTAATAAAGAAGTTTAAAAATGCAATTGTTTTTCTTTTGCTTTTATTATGTTGTTGAATAGTAGAACACATATAAAGGTAATGGTAGGTCGCTTAATCTTCCATGATGTATTTCGTACGATAACAATCTAATATGTATAGATAAGCGCTTCAGTTGACATGCAATTTAGTTATTCTTCACCTTCATTTTACGTTATAATAGGAAGACTATAAAAGAAAAATTTTTTAAAATTCATGTGCTCGGTAATGATAGCACTGTGAGTCACATTTGTTCTCACTATAACTTATTGTAGAAGACGTGTTCTTTTTTTTACCGATAGACATATGCACTGTCTTTCAACCTAGCGAAAGGAATTTTCTAACTAATCATCGATCCTGATTTTCACAGAAAATTATGCTTCAGACTTGCAAACTTTTGCAGTTCTGATGATCTGTAAATTGACACGGAATAAAAATTAAAAAGAACGTTTCTCTTATCCAAAAGCATCAAAAGTTCTTTTTCAAATCAAAGCAACCCAAACTACAATTTGAAATGTTTTTGTAAAAAATTTGTGTGCATAAAAGCTCTGTTTTGAAAATTGATCTCTTGTTGTCTGCTGAACGATAGCATATGAAGGCGAGAAACTTTTTTTTATTCATAGATTCATATTTAAGTGATATGGGGTTTAAATTTATTGTTATTTTTATTCATATTAAAATAATTCCATATCAAATTATATCTACTAAAATAAAACTATTTTCATCTAAAGTTACTTAACCTATTATCACGATTATGAAGTTGTTTCATGACTAAAATTATTGGCAATCCAACTTTTTTTTTCTTTCTCTCTTAAATGAATACGTCGCAATAAATATCTTTTTTTTATCTTTTTTCACGTATTATTAAAAAAAATATCTCTAAATCATAAATCTTATTTATTATAATCGTTTGTCTATAATTAAACCTTCAAGCACATGTTACACCTTCGAATTCAATATATTAAATCATAAATCTTCTCTTTACACTCAACTTGTAACATGGAAAAATGATAATCATAAACAAATTGTTATTAAGTAGTGTTAGAGAAAAAACGAGTATAAAGGTTAAGAACTCATGTAGCTTATGTTTTATTGTTGATTACTAACTCATTAGTTGTTATATCTAAAATAAAAATATTTATGCGGGGGCCCTATGATTTATGTAAAAAAATAATATATGATGTATATATATATATATATACATATCTACTCAAGATTTTTATAATCAATGCTAATAGAATTCATACAACGAAGAAGTAGGTCTTCGTATTTTATAATGCATTCATTCATTCATTCATTACTAGTTCCATCATCTACCAGCTACTTTTTAATTTTCTTTGAATTATTCAGATACATTAATTTTTGTTCCTTTATATACTGCTCTGTTGTTCTTGAGTACAATCAGTCTCATTGCATAAGAATAAACAAAGTACGTATTGACATTAGCATTTCCTGTAGATTTTTTTTCTCTTAAATCTCATATAAGTATTTGAAAAGATCGTTATCCTAGCAATAATAAAATCATCAATCGATTGTTTCGGGCAAGGAAATGGATGGTGTGTATTCTTATAAGGTAAATTGGTCTCTGCTTCAATATTTTCTTGTATTATTCATTGGAGATCAAATAGATTTTTGAAAAACTTAATATTTTTTATATAATTAATAGTTAATGTTTGTAAAGAAATTTCTTGTACGTCGAACATAGATCTAAAACAGGAATAACTAGACAGAGTATGACATCAATGTCATTATGCAGATGCTTTAGAAACTTTTTGTCATTATCTTTTGTTTGCACTATTGCAAACTTACTATTTGTCGACTTTGCTTTTGTTACACCCACATTTATCACGTAATTTAAATAGTCCAAAACACGACTGCCAAGAAATATAAGCTTTACTTTTTGTAGATAAACGAGTCGATAACATCTGTTATGACAGTTGAAGAAAAAATTATGTTATTCATAGGTTTAATCAAATTATTCAGGCTATTGTTATTGTAATTGAATATTGTATGAATAAGAAGTCATGACATAGGTTTAGTGTAGTTGATGTTTCTGGTAAAACTAACAATAACATCACGTTATTAGTTCTATATCATTAAAAAAAAACTATTTTTTATAAGCAAAAAAATTAAATTGAATACTTTTCGTGATAAATGGATTATTTCTCAAGCTTTACTTCAATAGAGTTTTTATTTTAGCGATAATCGCATTAATTTTCATTTTTTCGGCGACTTTCTCTTTATAACCCATTTGTTCTTTTTTCGTTGTATTTTATCAGACCGTCATCAAATGACGAAGCCTTTGACGTTATAAATTTGTAGTGGGCGGCTTCTCTTTTCGATCATATATTACTACATTCTAATCTCATAAATGCAGCAGTACAGGTATTCAATAAAAAAAACAATTGCAAGTAAATAAGTTTTTCTCTTTAGTTATCTCACTAGAGTATTGATACAAAAGAAAAATATAAAGAAGTTAGACTTTTAATAAGCTATGCAAAAGTCTTTGGGAAAATGTCACACTCTGTTAAACCATATTGCTAGCTTCTAAACTAATGAAATTTTTTTCGTTAGAAAGAGTAACGTCTGAAATACATATTTCGTATGAAACATGATTTTCCAGAACGCATGTAAGAAGGAGAAAACGCCAAAACCAAAACATCTCTTTAAAAAGGTTCTTGCAATGTTTTTGTAATTTAAAAAGTTTGCATTTCTCAAATATTTTGAGTTACATGAATCAAATTCTAATACAAAAACTCACCAAAGTCTAGCACATCAAAAGCTCAATTGATATCAGCTGTGGTAGATTGTTTTAGATCCGTTCTTGCCTATTTATTCAAAAAAAAAAAAAATTTGGAAACTGGAGTTTTTTTTGTAAAATAGAGTTTTGCCCGAACGATCAGATTGAAAGGACATTAGCCTTCATCTTCGGAATCCATGCATGAACTGAATTCTTGGTGCGATATCTGTTCGAACTATGTTAGATCATAGATACTGAGCAGGCAAAAATAATTGAAAAACTATTTTTTCATAGTTGCAAAACGGTCAGTTAGTAAAAGTGACCTGGTTATGTAGTCTCTTTTAGAAATAGTTATATATTTTTATAAAAGTCACGAGTTAATTTAACTTCCACTGCACTATTGGAAAGTGAAATCTTAATGCTATAAAATTCACCATCAAATATGATTTTTCATTTCAGTTCAAATATAAAAATTTTAACGAAAATAGAAAAATGATATTGCGTGATGGTGAAGTTGAAAGAACTCTTTTTAGAGATGTTTTAATTTTAGCATTTCTTTCTTCTTAGATGCATTCTGAAAAATCATATTTCATACAAAATCTATACTTCAGACATTACTCTTTCTAGCGAAAAAAAATTCATTGATTTAGAAACTGGCAATATGGTCTAAGAGAGTGTGACATTTTCCAAAACCTTTTGCACCACCTATTATATAATTTTTCTATCTATCTTATGAGAGTATTAGAGAAAAATTTTTGTTTTAATTTAGAATATGACTGATCAGTAATTGTATATAATGTCATAAATTTTTAAGAAATACTGACAAATAATATGTTCTATCTGATCCTCTGTATTAATTGATTGAACATGCCGATTATCTGACACGAATGCAACAAATCTATTGAATTCGATTAGATTGGTAAATTCAAGTTACTTTTTTTTCTCATCTCGTACTGTAGTTATTTCGCTCTTTTACTGATTATAATACCTTTTTATTCTTCTATTCTGTATAAAATTTTCTTTTTTTCTGTTATAATTGTTTGCAGGCAACGTTATCATTTGTTAGCATTTCTTTTTTATGATTCAACGGATAATTTCCCTTTTGAAATATGAATTACTATTTCTTAGAATAATTATCCTTTGTATTGATGTATAAATTCTTACAACTTTTCATTTTAGATTTTATATTCATATCAGAAAGCATGAATAATTATTTCACATTTCCAATAATTTTGATATCTTTCCTTTTAATAACACTAATATCTGGTCGAGCAATATACTATGATGAATTAAATGACGACGATAATACAAAACCAACCTCAAGTGATGAAGAAGGTAAGTAATAATAAAAAATATACAATTTTTATTTTTTAATAAATTCTTTTTATTTTTTATTTAAAATTAAAAGATTATAAATCAAAACTATTAAATATCGTAAATGATGATGATAATGATATTAATGATAATGACATATCTTTTGATTCTAATGAAGAAAAAAAATTTCATCAACGACAAATAGTTACGCGATCTGAAGAATCCAATACAGTATCACCCCATACTCGAGAAGCAATAATGGATCTTCTTCAAAAAGCTTTTGATCAAGGATGGAGACCCAATTTAAAACATTATATTCCAGCAACACGTTTTGGTCGTCACTGACGGTGATCTGTTATTCTTTTAATGTTTTTCTTTTTGTATATTTATATACGATATCAAAAAGAAAAAGATTCTATATATTAACTGTCAGATCTAAATATAATCAAATTAAATGATAGATATTTAGAATAATATGAGCGAATTCAAATATTTAAAGAATTTCATGTGTATAAAGAATAACGCGCCTAGTTTATAATTACATGAAATGTTATTTTTTGTGCCACTGTCTCGTGAAAAACAAAATTATCAATAAATTGTTGTCAAAAAAAAAACATTGAACAACTCATGAAATTAGATAAAAGTCTAAGAATTCATCAATAACGATTCAAGAAAAAACAGCTGATTTGTTTAATCAGTTTTACACCAAAACAAAATCAACTATTCAAAAAGTCTGGTTTCTAACATTTTGTGCCTTGGTTTGAAGTCTATTGTTAAACTTTAAGATCGTAGACAGAAGTTGGTTGTCAAAATATGATACATAATTTTAGAGAACGAGGTTTACCACAATAGTTACAAACAAAAAACAATGATCTTTTTTGACTTTTCTGATATCCTTTTTTTCATAGTAAAATTGACAGAAATTTTTTTTTTTAAATCTGATTTAAACTCTTTTCTCATTGATGACGGCTTATGCTGCCTATCATAATATTCACTCTATAGTTGTGCATACAGAATAGTTTTCATTGTTGACCGATAACGTTATATGTCAAACGATATATAAATATTGAGTCAGGATATTTTGAAATTATATGAGGCAAAATGTTACATTTTATAGCATGTATATTATTTCAATTCTCAATAGGTAATGCTTATGTATAGAAAATGTTTTTATGTGAGTCAAAAAGGCATTCAGTTATTGTAACATTTGCCAATATGATTTTATATACCCAATTTTATTATATGAGTGCAAGAGAATATATGGAACAGTCTGATCCGGAACAAAATGAACTCATAGACATGTTTTAAAAACTAAAGGAATTCAACCTTTGAGCAAGTGTTTATCAAAACAATTTTTCTTTCTTGTTATCTGTCTGTGCAACTTAGACGACTGATGTTGAGAAAGGACTCCCACGCTATCGTGATAAATTATCTCCGAAAGAAAAAAAATGATGAAATTCGAAAGCGAGAAATTTTCCTTTGAAAAAGTAACTTATGAATCACGGAATAAAACTTTGCATAGATTATTTCATTGAATTCATCTATTTTTTAATTAAATACTAAAATCTATACTAAAAAATAAAACGAAAAAGAAGACAACTAAAATTTTATTAAAATAAATCAAAAAAATAATCAAGTCCTTGACCACCATCCCAAATAGCTGCTCCAACATGAAATTTTGTTGCTAATTCTAATCGATCATAAATTGATTTTAAACTTGGATAAAATATAAGTATTACTGGTGCAGATCCTTCGTATGCATTTTGACCATTCATCGAATGACCATATACAAGAGTAATATGTTCATGTGCATGACTATCGAAAACAATTACTGATGCTGTATAATATTGTTTGAGAAATTCAATGTAATCATGACCAAGAACATGTCTTGTATGATATTGTCGTTGATCTTTTGGTGGTGATGGAATAATTCGATCGTAACGATAACCATAAAAGTTTAAACTAAGAAATACTTTGACCGAACTACGAATTTCCGTGCTAAGAAATTTACTCATGACTTCTTTTATCCATTCTATTAAATAATAAAAATTATTTTAGTTGAAGTAATACTTTTTAAACTTAGACTATAAGAAAGTAATCTTTTGGAATAGTTCTCTCTATGAAATTCTAATTCTTCGTGGTCAGAAGAACAGTTGATCGAGAGAAAGACTAACTGATCATTAAATAATTACAGACAACGATGCATGTTTTTCATACGTTTGAAGCAACTAAGTTATAATCAATTAACATAAACTTGTAATGACTTAATTTTTGAAACTTTTGATATCTTCAAATGTTTAATCTTGTCTTGAATACATCAATTATTACTCTATTCTTAAGTAGAGGCTTGTGAAACAAAATTTTTCATGTCTCAAATTCCATATGTCCGGTTGACTAAAAGGTGACTGATTGCACAAACGTCATGAGCAGACTTATTGCTTTTCATTTACTTAGTTGCCATGACGAATTCTTCTTCTTCTCGATGCATTAGTTACGAATCAAGTGAGTTACTTATTCTATACATCTAACCATCATTTCGAAATGAAAGAAAAGTTTGCCAAGATCATGAGATTATGTGGAATGCACATTTGAAATTCGTTTTCAAAAGCTCGATTCCGTTCAGAGCTATACAAATATAGAAAACGATACTTAACAACTAAGAATTTCCTTCTATGGTCATGCATGACTCAATCTAAAAAAGACCAATAATATTTCAGATGCTATGTGCAATCGGTTACTTATATGACAATAGTTGGCTCAGACTTATAAGTTCTTAACTTGTCAGCTGCGCAAAGATAGCTGGATGCAACTGAAATTCATTATGGTTTCCTCTATGAAAGTTCAAGATTTAGAAATAAGAGATGTCATCTGGGATGACGTCCTGAACTGTTTCAGGTTTATGTATTCAGTTGTATTTTCTACTCGGCTTTGTTCAAATGTCAATCTAACTGTCTGTTCTCTTTTGGCTGCTCATTGAAATATTAATATTCGTTAGAAACAAAAACAAAATTGAAATGTACGACACATTTTGATACAAAGATTATAACAATTCGGAACATCGGGTTCTTCTATATTGCCTCTTAGGACAGGACAAACAGAATTTTTCGAGATTCGGGACAATTCCAAAAGACTCTACAACTGAGATATCTCATATCCATTATTTTTATTCATGATCAAATTCAGTTCCATCGATTATACGAGTATGTAATTGTATCAATCGAATAATTGAGAATGCGACTGCAAAATTATTCAAATTCTTTATTACTATCTTGTTTTTCAACTGAAGGCAAAGAGAACTTTCAGTAATGTTTCATTTAAAATTTATTTTTGATACTTTATAGCCTTAATTTACTAAAAAAATGTTGAGCTTTCAATTTTTATGTAAAATACTAACCTAATGGAGAAACTGGTCCTGGTTCTTTCGTTGGAAAATCATATGTCATAACAATAAATCCATCTAAATATTCAGATAACGTTTGAAAATCGTTCTTACTAAAATACTCTTCCACTGGTGGTACAGTTAAAATAACTTCTTTTTTCTTTGTTGTATTATTATCGATCTGATGTATATGTTCAGTAATATCACTAATAATATGATTAAGTACTGATTTTGATGAATCACTAAATTGTGCAAGTAATTCAAGAACATAACCATCAAATAAATGATTATATTCAATAAGAAAATTTTTTAATGTTAATGATAATTGTTGTTTTTCATCTTCAGATTGAAATAATGCATGAACATCGTTAGCAGGCCATTTGTCAAATAAAACTCGAGGTACAATACGTATATCAGAATGTTGTTCTTTTAATGTTTCAATCCATTTTGAATCAATATCATGTGTACCTTCAATCGAATATTTTTCAATACCTATTCGTTTTATACTAAACCAAACTGGAGAAATATAATCAAATTTTTGTGTAAAAATTTTTACAAGATCATAACCATGATTATTCCATGGAGTTATAAAAATTAACGTTGGAAAAGTAAATTGTCGAGTATCAATACAAGTATAACAATATGATTGGTAATTTTCAAGAATTGATTTAGGATTAATATTTTCTTGTAATAAATTACGTTGTAAAACATGTGTTTCGGATGGTGGAAAAGATTCTTTTGGTATTGAAGCAGAGCTTACATATGGTTTAAAACTACTAGAAACAGATGAAGATGGAACAATCTTTTCAGGAATTCGGGATGAAGATTTACGATCACCAGGACCTATAGTTGATTCAGTATAATGTAGAAGATATAAACCTATGAATAATAATAACAGATAATGTTCCATTTGAAATAAGTTTGAAAAATATGTTCAAAGAGGTTGATGCATGTAAATTATGGTTGCAATTAAAGTATCTAAAATACTCATAAAGAATGTGATACATAGAATTTGTTTATTACAAGACTGAAAGATAAATCAGAGGTGAAAAACTGATTGAAAAGACAAAAGACAACGATTTAAGTATAGATAATGGATTCATCATCGAAATGAACCGCTGAAATTTTCATTCAACTTTGACATGGTTGTACATAATTATTCGAAATATCAGATTGAAACAAGAATCTTCATCATGTTCCATTTTATAATGATGACATTTTTTGAAAATAAAGCCAGATTTTCAATACAAATGGACATTTTTGGAAAGTTTACGCACTTGTTGATTATATCTTTTTTCCAATGAACATTGATTTTTGAGTAAAATATGTACTACTACCATACTAGTAATGACACATATTTAGTAAATATTTATATGTAAATCAGTTTTGAACAGAATCAGTTAATGTATTTAAAAAGATTAAAGCTCAATAAGATACAAAGAGAACTCTAATTATTGAGAAAATATAGTGAAGAGTTAATTGTGCTTATTACAATAAGATCATCTTGTGAATCCATTTATTCTATGTTTTTTTTACCACAGAAGACAAATTCTTTTTCTTTAAAATTCATATAACTTTTATCGCTTATTTTAAAAGAATTATAAAAAGAAATTTACATCGTGAAATAAAGGTCCTAGCCTGATTAAACAACTATAATGAGAATTGTTATTTAGAGTTGCTGATAATACATTTAAATCAGTTTATATTAGAGATATAATGGTAATGGAGGATTGCCAATCCATCGTCCAGTAGTAATACTAATCTATGGTAAAGCGATGTACCGACCGAGACATTGAACAGTAGATGAATGGCAAAGATCGATTTCTTTTGACATCATTCACGAGGAAATATTTCCAAGTGTTCATGTCCGTTTAAGCTAATATTTTGTCCATAGCTGTTCATTGCTAAATTTTGAATTATTGGAGTATTTTCTATGCACATAAAATTAATGGTAAATTTTTTTGCGAGTGAACTTAAATAATAACTAGATTGTACTAGACTTTACAATGTTGCTATGATAAGAAGTTCGTAGATAATAAATCTTACAACTCCTTGATACTTCATCATTATTCTTTCACGGAATACAAGCATTTATTCTACGGCTGAATAGTGTACCCTCGACTTCTTATGAAAACCATGAAGATGAAAAATTTATATTCTAATGAAGATGAAGCTGAAGAAACAATGTTATAAAGTCTAGTATAATCTAGTCATTATTAAGTTCATTTTCCAAAAGATCTACAATCTTCTAACTTTTAATAATGACTAAAAATCAGTTGCTATTATCTTCATATGCATGGAAAACACTCAAACAATTCAAAATTCAGCAAGGAACGCCCATCGACACCAAAGACTTTAAATACTGTTCAGGAATTCGTCGCATTAGTTAATAATAGAATAGTCTCATCGTAGATTATCAGATGTTTTACTTACTTAATTGGTCTTAATGTTGATAATTGAAAAGGCATTCTATACGAAAGATCGATGCCTCCATTTCACACCTAGTTCATACTATTAGAACTTTTCTGCGATGTCTAAGATCGACACTCATATGGGACTATTATAAGGTTGACTGATATTGAGAGATTTATGTATGAATTTTCTGTAGGAAGAAAACAAGCCTTTTCGTCATAAGAAATTCAAGTCAAAATCTGCAAGTCGTTCTTTAGTTATTGTATAAAACTTTCATCGAATAAATGAACAGTCACTTCGAAGTTCTTGCAAACTTTTATTTTAGTCTTGACTGATCAAAATATATTATCATCTTCATGCAAAAAAAAAATTGATAGGACTGATCAGTACTAAATTCACTTACCTAACTTGTTCATTTCATTCCTTCGATGAAGACACGAATAATAATAAAAAAATAGAAATGATAATATATTTTCTTAGTTATCTCATCATCTGGATGGACAATCTTCGTCCAAATTTATTTAGAAAAAAAAGAAGGAACACTCAAATCTTACTTTTTACATTTTTTTTTATTTCTTTTGTCTAAAAAATACAACATTCACACACACAGAGAACAAAAAAACCGATTAGATTTGAATTGAATTTTTTTTTCTTTTGCCTCTCGCAATTAAATATTGTCTTTCGCAGGAACGAAAATTTGTGTAAACACAGGAAAAAAAAGAAAAAAACATAAAGTGAGTATTAGAATTTAAAAACGAGAAGCAAAGATATGTTACAATAAACGTGAAAAAGCAGATTTTTTGTTTCGTTTATTTTTTTTATTAAACACAAATATAATTTCATTTATGAATTTATTGGTGTTGGTAGTGATGGATTTTGAAGAAAATTCATTCGATGCTTTTGTGCTCGAGATTCTGTAACCTTAAAATAAAATAAATATATCAATAAAATACAAATAAAAAGATTTTATGTGTGATTATTTACTAATTTTTGTAATTCAGCTAATTCCATAGTTAATGTTTTTATAGCTTTATTAGCATCTTCCATTTGAATTTTTAATATTCGACTATCTTGATCTTCTTTATTTTTATCTTCTTGAATATCTAAACTGCTTGTACGCATTCGTGGAAACCAATCAAGATTTCGTTGCTAAAAAAAGTAAAAATTTCGATTTTTTTTTTTTTTAAATTAATAATCAACAAAAAAACGAAAAACGTACTTCAATCATTTCATGCACATAACTTTCTGGTCCAGTATATTCTGTTGGATCTTTAACATTAATTAATACCATAAAATAAACATAATTCCACATATTATGAACTTTACGAATATGATCTTCAAATGTAACATGTTTATTATCAAATGATTTACGATCAAGTCCTATACAAAAAAAAACAAAAAATTTTTTATGAAATAAATTTTTTACAAAATGATCTATGCTTACCACATATAAAACACGTATTACGAAGAATTTCATCATTTCGTTGTTTTTCTGTACGTAAATCAGCAAAATTATCAATAATAACACCAAAAATTAAATTTAGAGTTATAATTATAACAATGAAGAAGAACATCATGTCATAAATAACACGGAAGAAGTACAATGGTTCCTTTAAGCAAAATAGACAAAAAATACAAAGAATTTTTTTATTTCAATTGTATAATTTAATTCTATTTTCAATACAATTCGTAAAAGAAAAAAGAAAATGTATTTTTATATAAAAAATATCACTTAAAATATTTTCATATATTGAAACAAAGTAAGAACCAACAGGAAGACATTTATTATAGGTGTAGGTGAGGCCTCTATTCTATTCACATTCACATCCACATGCTAAGTTTATAGAATGAAGGCTCACAGAGAATTTTAGGTTGCCAAATGATCTATCTTTGACTCTTATTTATTGAATATCTTCAGAAAACATCATGACATAGAGCCGAAAATTTTACTACAGCCTCTCCAATACAATCATAACATACTGTTAAAATTTTATATGGTTTGATTGCATCTGGTTTAAGATCGATTTTTCAGGAGAAATGACCTTAATTATTGCTTCTTATACCTCAATCGTTGTAGTCATGTTCAGTCATTTCTAGATTATTGCTAATCTGCTCTAGTTTCATCCTGGGCTATCATAATATAGGATTACTCTGTATTCCGAAAAGAGTTATCAAACAAAAGAAAACTAATATTTTTCTCTAAACTTACCTGATTAGACGGCTGCCTTAAAACATCTCCAATACCACCACCATTTCTTAAACCTTTATTAAGTGTTGTTACAATACACATAAATAACGTGTCACAAGACCGTTCAACTTCTTCATCTACTGCTTCTTCTGGTAATATAGGTGATGATTGAGTGGCATGATGAATATGACTGACTGGTGTATCATTGGTACAATTATCTTTGGTACAAAATTCATTATTAATAATACTTGGAATGGTTGTAGCTAAAAAAAGAAACAACAACAATGAATATATTGGTTTACATTTTTTGCGTATTAATAATAAACATAATAACATAAACAAAAAACACTAAACAACGACAAATTGACATACGCGTCAATGTCATTGTTTTCATATTAGTATTTGAACGTCGATATCGATGATGAGAATATGATGAATGTAATCTTGTTTGAATATTTGTTAAAAAATCATCACGAAAAAAAACAAAACCCATAACAGAAAAAAGATAAATAAGTACTAGTGCAAGCATCATTGTTAACATAATAGATTTTCCATTTCGTGTTACTGATTGTGTTACTTGAAGTAAAGTTGCATCTCGAAAAATCATATCAAGTAACTGGAAACAAAAAAAAATTAACTTTCACAGTTTATTTTAAGTTTTTTTTTGTTATTTTCTTTCATTAAAATTCAAAAGACATAAAAAGCAACAAAAGCAGTGAAGAGAAAAACTAAAGAATTCTTCTATTTAACTTACTTAAAACATTTGTATCATTTTGATGATCTATTGCAAGTGGTTTCGTATTGACTGGCATAAGAAAATCATCTTGGATAAATAAATAACCACATATAGCAAATAAATATATAATTATAACAGCAAATACGGCTGTTAATATAACTGATTTAGCATTGCGTACAACACATTGAATTACATTCCATAGCGTATCTTCACGATAGACAACATCAAGTAACTAAGATAATCAATACAATACAACATCAAATAAATAGATTAAATTTAAGAAGACATTGAATCCAAGAGAAACTTTCGTTTTTTTTGTAAATGTTTTCAACATGACTTTCTATGATTCTCGGAATGCAGAACGCGAATTATTTGGTGTAAGCTGAAGATGGCTGTAATTCAAAATCAAAGGAACGAAGTCGCTATTGGATATGAATTTCATTATTAAACTTAAGGAAAAACTCTATCGCTACGTTTTGTTTTCTTATTCAATAAAGGTTTTATTAGCAAGAGTTAAATGCGGACGGTCACTATCATGAAACAAAACTCTTACATCGAATACATACTATGCCAGACAGAACTCGATATACACGAAAACATTGAATTCCAATATTCATTCATAGCATTTTCGCAATGAGTGATAAATCTCGCATGGGTGCTAATTTTGGAATGTATATATCGAAATTATTATAAATTTCAATTCTTCAAAATTCCTACAAAGTTGAACTAATACATATGTAATTATTTATTCTTTCGAATCGTATCATTTTAAAACTAGCTAAGAAATCAGATATTTACTATTTTGAAAGTGGATGAGAGTCAGAGTCAAGGTAAGAGTATGGGTGAGGTTCATATGAGGATAATTGAACGGGAACGAATAGTTACTGTCAGCGTAACCGAGAAAAAACTAGTATCCGCGAATGAATATGTCTCGTATTTTATCCAAGTTAGTAACAATTTGAGATTTACCATGATCTTTCAATTTTAATCTAGAAGGAAATTCTGAACACATTTTCGGAAAGAAAGACAAAGTCTGACTATGACTAATTGCTTCTGATTCTAATTAGTTGTCTGTAAATGGTCGAAGAATAAGTAAATATTTGTACCAAAACTTTCGTTTTAATCGAGATAATTTTAGTTTAAAATTATCTCGATTAAAATTATATATCTACACGTGATCTTAACTTATATTTGATCATTAACGAAGAATTTTCGTCAAAGAACTTAATAATAATTATTAGAAATCTATGGTATAATCTGTCTCATAATCAAAAGTTGAATTATGCTTATCTCTTGGATAAAAAAATCTCTTTTTTTAATTTCATGTTTCAATCGGACTTTCTATTCATAAACAACATGAAACAACGAAACAAATTTACAACAAAGCCACTAACATCAATCATCTTTTATATATAAATATTTAACTTACTAATAAACTATAGAAGAATTCATGAAGACAAAGACCAAACACACAAAGCAGTAAATATCCGACATGATAAACAAGTTCAAAATTCGTTAAGTTTTCATATCTTGATTTTGAAAATGTTCCATTATTACCCATAAAACTAACTAGAAATACACCTTTATTTAAAACCTAATATTAAAAAAAAAAAGAAGAAAAATATTATTAAAATGCTTCATAAATAAATTCTACTTGTATTGCACCCATTAACCATAAAGTTGGTCCAAGACCCACTGAATAAATCGAACGTAAAATTCCAGCAACAAAAAACATTCGCATAGATGTTACATTTGGCTTGATTAAAATGGCAATTAATGTAATAAATAATGCACTCCATATAGCTGCTGATGCACGTGGATCAAGATCTGTTGTAAAGAAAAAAACCACACATAAATATAAAATATTTTTATTTGATTTGCTAAATAATTGTTAATACCTTTAAGACCTTTATTAAATGGATAAAACACAGCAACAAGAATATTAATTAAAACAGCAAAATTAAATGATATATCACTCCATAAAGACATATGTGATGAAAACCAATATAATGTTGGTTGATGACGTAATTTTCTTTGCCATTTCATTTCTTCGAATATTTCAGGAAATTTTTCAAAAAAATCTTTTACTTTTGAACCTTGTTCATCTTGTTCACATGTTAGAAAGACTTTTTGTTTTTTTTCAACCGTTAAAAATTCACATAATTGTGGAACAGGAAAAACAACTATAAACGAAAGAGAAAATTCATTCATTCGATATTAAATTTAACAAAAGAAAAAAAGAAGCAAGAAATATTAATAAATACTTGGTTCAATAGATCGATCATGTCGAATAATTTCAATTTCAGCCGTATGTTTATGATAATATGATAATGCTTCATCATTTAATGTTCGATGTTTCATTAAAACTTCAAGTTCACGATTATGACGAGCAAGCTAAAAATTACCATATAACGAAAAAATAAAGAAGTATTTCAATAATTCATCTTATTTTTTTCTTAACTTAATAAATTCCCATAAAATCTGAATAAGCTGAGGGAATAAGAGAATATATATATTCAAAAGCCCTTTTATGGTGTTTTCGGTTCTTTAAAAAAAATTTTTTTTTGTGTGTACCTGAGAATACTTTTCCATTTGTCGTACAATATGAAAATACAAAGATATCAAATAAATTACAAATACCTGTGTACTTCTAATACAGTAGTCGTCAGAAGTTCGACTACCGGATAGCAAGTGTATCAACTTTAATTCTGTCGCCTGATATTTGGACTAGAAATAGAACTCGGTAAGCTCTAATAAGAAACAGCAATCCGAGGTCAATAGACCTTCATGCAAACGGTTTTTGATAAAAACACTAGTTTGATCTCTAAGACTCTAGATTGGTTTCGTTGATACTTTTGTGATTTCCTACTATTTAACTGTGTTAACCTGTAGTTTCTTATTAATAAATAAAGATTCGCGTGTTTTTATTTGGTCACAAATAGTGTATTTCAATCCGCTATAATCTTGAAACGCGGAAGTTTCCATTGTTCTGGGTGATTTCAACACGGAGTTCTTCTGTGTTGAAGACTGCAATCGGATATATCGGTCAATTTTCAACGATTTTCAGCAACTGTCATGTAAAGATTACTCAAATAATGCTTCATAAATGAGGCAAACCAAAACTATTTGACATGAAATATTGATTGGTGATAGTGGTTGCACTGAACTATCAACTGAGACGTCTAACATCATTACATTTGTTTTTTTTTATGTTGAGATATCCTAGAATGAAGAAAAAATCTATGTTGGCCATCTAGATCCTCCACATGAAGACCGATCCATTCCCGATTATTTCTTGTGACCATGATTCAATATGCTCTATTTATGGTCGACTTATGAGACTAAACGATTAAAGCTTAGGTAATTTCAATCTGATAGCGAGACTTTTTAGGATCACTATAAAACTAATGATTTTATTAAGATTTATACCTGATATGCAAGAATATATATATTATGACCAACAGTTTGAGCAACATTATCGGAACTTTCATTCCCTTCTTCATCGTGTAATAGTTCCTCATTCTCAGTTTCTTGCGTACTTTTTTCTACCATTTCTTGTTGTTTACCACGAACATAAATTTCACAACCAACATCAAGCTAAAACACAACAAGACTTTCTATTGTTTCTTTTTGTCGTATTAAAAAATAGTTTTTATTACTAATTGTGAAACAGGTACAATATTTCGAAGAATACGTTCTGCATTTGTACTATCATCTCGACTTTCCATAACAGCTAAAAGTAATTTTGATGCATTATCCTAAAAGAACAAAAATCAATAGTTATTTTTATATCACGAAATAAAAAAAACTAATCCAAAGATTGAATTTACTTTTAATTCAAGTACAAGATCATAATTTTTTTGGTTTAATGGTGTTATATCATTTAAAACAATAGCAATGATTATATCAATACCATTGGATTCATGATTAACAATAGCATCTTGATTATCTCGACATGGTCCTTGACAATATTCAGTTAATGTATTCAATGCTTGATTGATTAATTCAACATTGTCTTCATTGATATAATTTCCTAATAAACCGAGTAGACCAGTTTGTGAACCACAAATAGCATCAAGAAATTTTAATGTTTCACAAACAAGATTATAATTTGTTTTATTAAGATTTTGTAATCGAAGATAATTCTGATAAACAACGACAAAAATGAAAAAAAAAAAAGGAATGACAAATAAGAAAAAAGAAAAATATAAACCTGAAATTCAGGATTATGATTTTCACAGAGTAATTGTAGAAAACGTAATATTGGTTGCATTATACGAATTTCAAATGGAAGTTTATAACGACGATTTTGAGTGCTAAATAAATTAATAATTTCAATGTATATCATGATAAATTATAGACTATCACATTGAATTTTTCTATCATATTATGGAAATTATTTCTTATATTAATTAATTCATTTCTGCTTCACTCAATTCAAAGTTCCAAACAGAGATGAAATCGATGCGAGTGTATCTTATTAATTTTGTTGCTCTTAGTATTTCTTAGATGATGTATAATGAAACTTTGTTAAAACTTGATTATTCTAGTGTTACTATCTACAGATGCAATAGTACAACAACTTGTTAGTTCAGTGTTGGTCTGACTTACTCAGACTGTTGTCATTTCTGGTGATAAATATCCAGGTTAGATCTTTTCGAAATGTAGAATCTCTGTCTGATTCAGAAGCTACAACGAACAAAATCAATATAATTGAATATTTTTGTCAAATTATGAAAATGTCAGATTTCGTGCATATTTATTATAAAAATCAATCTAAAAGGAATGTGCAACATATGGAGAGATGTTTGAACTCTTGTCATAGATTTTGATAGTAATCAAAGTCCTACGGCGCGATTATAAAAAAGCATGGTTGAATTCTTCAACTACGGGACAGAAGATATGAAAGCTTTCTCATTTATAATATAAATAACTTCAATATATATCATGTTGTAATTCTATAGAGAATATGCACGAAAAGTTTTTGTTTACATCGTATTTGATAGAAACACAGGGAGCAGTAATTTGTTTTGTTAAATTTTAATATGATCGATTTATCTCAATTTCATATGCATGAAAGTTTTATGAAAAATATCCTTTTTTATTCTATTACGTCTCTCTCACAAGAAATTCTTACGGGCAATCAAATATATCAAATGATGATGCTGCTGATGTTTTTGTATGTTCTGATAGAAGTGGTTCCTGATAAGTAGTTGATGTAACAACTAATGCGTGTGGTTGTTCTTGTGATTGAGAAATTGAAACAATATCTAAACCAATGAAAATCTCAATCGATTTCATACTATATAAATTTAAAAAACCTGACCTTGTTCCGATGAATTAGCAGTTAGAACAATACTGGATTGTTGATCAAAACTAAACTTATTATCTGTAACAGGTAAAATTGATGCTAATCGATCAACAGTTGATGGACTTAATATAGGTGATGCTCCACCAAGTCTTGGTGTAAATGTAATATCATCAAACTCATCATAAGGTTGTTCTATATCAGGTGTTGTTGATGGCATACTTTTTAATGTTTTTTGAGCAATACACATTTTATCATAAAAAACTTGAAAAAATTTTTCCGATGCTGTTTCACATCCATGTAAATGACGAAAAATACTTGTCTATAGATATTTGTTTATTTTTGTTATTTGATTAAATAAATAAAATATGTAAAATAAATCTCACCTGAACTTCTGTATTTCCACCTTCTAATAATGCTATAGCTAAATTAACACTTTCTTCAAGTATATTTATTGGTGATTCACTCATAAATAATTCTACAACAAGATCACTAGCTCCTTGAATATTTAATTCATTTTGTGTGTTTCGTAATCTTTCAAGAGCATCTTCTTCTAAAATAATTGAATAAAAAACATTGATGATTATTATTCAATATTTCTATTAAAGAAACCTTTTAATGGTTGATGAAGTGATTTTAAATATTGTTTATCATCAGAAAAATATCTTCGAAGTAGTTTCAATCTTAAGTTTTGTCCCTAAAGAAAAATATATTGTATAATTAAAAAAAAGGATATATTTTCATATTGAATAATTCAACAAAGCTATAAGCTAAGCTTTGATACCCTTGAATCATGTTCATAATTGTTTTTGACCATTGATTTGAGTGCATGCATTATGCGCAAACATAGGCTTTCCTCGGCTTGTGTAAGCAAATATTTGGCATGCTGTATCAATCTAAATGACACAGAACCGTGGAAAAAAAAAGCATGAGCAAAACCGTGGAAAAAAAAGTATAGCTTTGCATCTCGAACAATATAGCGGTAGCAAAAAATGTTTGATCAATCAAACTACAATTTTATTTGACAATAGAACATTGTTCTTTTTCTGTCATGTTGAAATCAAATCAAAACATTATCTTAGTCTACCTCATGATTAGATTCCCAATGAAGAATCTCTTTATGCTGCATTGTACGAGCATAATCGGTTAAAAGATTGAGTACATGAAAACTCAATTGTTTTTCATGATACTTTATTAACATCATTGTTGTATGATTTATTAGTCTAAAGAATGTTTTAGAGGAATTCATAATGATTTAAGATATTTTTGATGAATGATTGTATTTAAAATTTTATAATCAAAATAGTTTGTTTATAAGAGACGGATACTACATACTTGTGTACGAATGTTCCACCGAGAAATTTTAAACGAGATTCATGTGTTTCAGGAAAAAGTGCATGTGGTGCTCGAATAACATCCACTAGTACGCTAACTTCAGCTTGAATAAGTGGATTCACTCTAAGACCAACTTGAGAAAGAAAATCCTACAAAATACATAAATTTCTTTGACTTTTTTTTTTCTCTAAATTTTAAAATTCTTTTTTATTACCACAAAATTATCAATAACACGTTTATGTTCTACATCTTCTAAATGATCGTGTCTTTGCGCTGCACTATATGCAGAGTCAATACTATACATTCGTTCAGATGTTGCACTACGACTTGTACGTCGTGAACGAGTTGATATTTCACTTGATGTACTATTTGAACGTAAAATATGGCTAAGACCACGACGATCAGCTAAAATTCCAACAATAAAAACAAACTAAAATTTCGTGAACGAAATTTTATTTTTGTCTGTTACCAATTAATGATAAAATATGAATACATCTATCAACACGTTCACGTTGTGATGTTGTTAACCACGGTACACTTATTAATCGAGCTAGATGACTATACAATGTTACAAGTGTGGCGTTACGATGCTGAAATTAAAAAAAAATTGATTCAAAAAAAAAAGAAAAAAATGTATATAAATAAGTTTGAATCATTGGAAAGAGAAGAAGAAGGTGTACAATCCATACGTGCAGCGATTCAGGATGCACAAGTTTTAGACTATCGCCGAAACAAATGATAGGATTTAAGCTCTTGGGTCAATATGTCATACAGATTACTATGAAAGAATCATCCCAATATTCTTACCTTTGTTTCATCTTTATCTATAAGCTACAAGAAGAGAGCAAAATATGAGAAAAAGAAATCATGCAATGAGAAATAAACATGCATAGTTATTTTTTTTTACAAAATATTAATTATCTTCTCATATTAACCAAATACCTCCCACGTAGCAATGATTATAGATGGTGCGATCTCTGGTGATCGACCATCATCTAGCATATACTGATCCTAAGAGCAAATCTCACCTTGTCATCACTCTTGATATGATAAAAATATTTAAGATTTTTATTGTAAGAAATGAATTATTCAAAAAAAGATTTATCGAATAAATTAGAATTTTAGTAAAATTTATTTACCTGTGGTGCTGATGATTGTTCAAAAAAAGGTGAATTGAAAAATTGATTGATTAAATCAGTTACAGTATCTAATATATATTTTTCTAAATTACGACGTTCAGCTACTTTGGTTATGAGCTAAAACAAAGAAAAAGGAGAAATTTTTATTTTTTTATAATACACATATTTCCGAAGAAAATAGTGAGTGTAGGATAAGTCAAAGATCATGAAGTATGTTTTTTCTAGCAACGAAAAAACACACATCAGTAACAACAATGCCTACATCATTCGAGAAATTTTCAGAATCTTCCAAAGCATTCTATCAATCTAAGATTTCTATTGTACATTCTAATTAATCTAAATATAGCGGATTTTGGTATTCAATACAGTGAAATGGTCACATTGCAAGTGTCACTCACGGCAGTAGGATACTAGTATTATTGATCTAGCAAAATGAGAATATGATGGACAAAGAAAAGTATGAACTAAATAAATTGTAAGTTTAGGTAAGACTTAGCAGTATATACTAAGATTTGTCGAGAGTAAGGATTGCATGCTCGGAAGAGCTTATTGAACGATTAAATCAGTGTACATAGCAGATTAATATGGCGGTTGAACCGATGAGACGAAGAATAAAATCATATTTGCCACTTTCTATGCCACGTATCATAAATATTAAAATTAGGAGAAAAGTTAGACATTGACGCTATATATGATAATGCAAAGAAGGTTTTTTTCAGTATAATAATATTCAATGAACCTAAGAAATTCGTAGAATAGTTATTCTAAATGTAAACATTTACAGAATGATAAAAATTTTAGAGAACACATATCAAATATAAAAATTGTTATAATTTTTATTTATTAATTTCTTTGGCATCTATTAAACAAATTATTCTAGCACCTCTGACAATAAATCTTAACTAGCGTTTGTAAGTTCGACGTTTTGACTCCTCATGGAACACTTTGACAAGTTTTTGTATTGATAATGAAATAAGATATTAAAATCTAATTGTAGTAAATACTATCAAAACTATCTTAATTTCATTACACAAACTGATTTTTTGACATTATTCCAGTGATATGCTTTTGAATATACAAAGTTCTTAATAAAAGGTAAATGTGTTTTAAAAATAATTGAAACAACATTCATGAGACTTAGAAATCGTGTTTAAAATTTTTCATCTTCATCTACCGATAGGATGGGATGTTGAGGGAAATCAAAATTATCCTACTTCAGTCAGATGCACAGCACTTGATTGATTAAAGTCAATCAATAAATACCATTTAATATTTTTTTAATACTATACTAACTTTTTTCGTCAATACTATATCTCACAAAGCTGTTATTTGGTACTCAATCTATTCTGTGTATATTTTGATTTGAATAATTATTCTTCAAGTACATTAATAATGAAAACAAAAATATTTGCATGTTTTTATATTAAAAATTCGACTTACTTTTTCAATATCTGGACAAAATGAATTTTCAATTAAAGTATAAATATGTTGACTATTATAAATTTCCTTCATTTCAACTTCTGTATCAATATAACAATGAGTTAAAAATGTAATATATGCAGTTTTAACCTAAGAATAAAAATTCATTCCAACATAAAACTAAAACATAATTCTATTTTAATACTAACTTCAGGTGTACAATCTGGATGTGTAACAATCAAAACAATATCATCTAAACCAATTAATGAATGACATTTTATTTCTGTTGATGCATTTTTTCCTTCAGTACACATTGCTAATAAATGAACAAGTTGTACATGATAATTTAATAAGGAATTTGGATCTGAACGTTCATGTTCTGATTGCATACGTTCAACAAGATCGGATAAATTTCCTTTTTCATAAAACATTAATACTTCATCAGAACTAACCAACTAAAACAAAACAAACATAGTAAAACAATAGTCATATTTAGATTCTTGACGTTTTCGACTGAAACCTACTTCTGACATAACAATATCTTGACAATTTTTAATATATTGATTTTCAGCTTTAACAATTGTTTGTAAAAATTTTATATATAATACTTTTCTACCATGTAATTCAATTAAATGAACAAAATGTTGAACATGTTTTTCAGTTATAGTTTTACATAATTGAACATTATTCATAAAAATATAACAACATGTTTCAACTTCTTGTTCCTAAAAAAATAAACAATCATACAAATTTTAGTTTCTTTTTTTTTTTATTATACTTCAGATATTTGCTGATAATCATTAAAATATAATTCATATAATTTAGCTTGATTTGTTGGATTATTATAACAAAAATATTGCAAAAGATTATGTGCTAATTTCATAATATGATTCATTCGAGTATCTTCAGCCTATGAAAATTTTCCCGAATGAAAAGAAAAATAATTAAACCATAAATTTGATTTTTTATTACTTTATCATATGGAATTCTTAATAATTCAAGTACAACAACATGTACATCCATATTTCTCAATAAACGTTGTTCATTTTCTCGAGCATATAAATTTCCATCGACACCCTCAACAACACATAATTTCATCATACGACGAAGAATCTAAATATTCAATAGATCACATAGATCAATATGTGCATTGCAATTCTAAGTGAATGATCTTTTGCTAAATTCAAAAAACAATGCATTAATTTCGCAAGCCAATTAGTAGAAAAACATGCTTGTTGCAATGTATAAGAAAGAATTGCCATATCGTTTTTTTTTTGAATAGAGTGAAACATGCGATGACCAGAAAAAAAAAACAGATCTAATTTTGATACATTTAGGTTCTTCTTAATCATGCATCAAATCATATTTTTCGTGATTTTTTTTTTGAAATGATAAAAAAAGCGTAGTCAGGCCCAGAACGACAAAACAGTGAAAGTCAAAGAAGAAGAATAAATGTGCAAAGTAATCGAATAGTAAACTAATATTAATATGTGTATATACATATGTATATATATATAAATAAGTATTTCCCAATTACCGTGTCAATGAATTTATGTATACCCTAGGAAAACAGATAGATATACAGAGAGATATGGGTTAAAAGATATTCATCTAGTTGTGTTTAAGACCCAGATGACCGAAATAGATTAATAAATAAGCACATATAATTTGTTCCGTGTTTAATAATATTAGAAGCTGAAGAAAAAAGGAAAGAAAACTTTTTGTGATTATCCACTAACCTGGAAAATTGATGTATATCGATATGCTGATTCTTCACTTATACTTGGGCCAGTCATATCGAATTCGGCTTCGTTCAAACCGGATGATGTAGCTAATCTCTTTAAAAAAAAGAAAAAGAAAAAGAAATAATCATTTGAAGTTCATTTTAATAACAACAATATTTATGGATGGTTATATGATGCATTGAATATCAATTCAATTTTGATGAACATCGCTAATATTTGAACGAATTGCAGATACTGAAATTTCTTTGACACGTTTGATTAGTACTCATCAGTTGTTAGTAGAGCGCGTACGATTAAAAAATTTTGGACTCGAATCTAATCGAACCGTACATTGATAATCTCGATGAAATTTTCTAATCAGAATTGGATAGTTGCCCTGAAGATACAAAATATCTTTTCCAGTTTCTAATATTTGGTGATTAGTGCATTCTACATATTTTTCAGACGACTAGAGTTCGTCGAGTTTAAAATTTTCGAAGCTAAATCCAATCAAATCAGTCTCTAGAAGCAACCCGATGGCCTCTAGTTGTAAGTAAAAATAATCAATTATAATCCGTTCTAATAGGTTATTTATCATGTATATTTCTTTCATATTTCTAAATTGAAAACTTTAAAACTTTTATTTTCATTCTAATTCAATCAATCTCTAAAATTGTTGTTGAATTCGTCTTCAATTTCTAAAGAATGCTATGAATTTGATGTTACCTTAATTTCAAATTCATCATCTTTTCTATCGTCATGATCAATATTAGTTTCATTTCCCATAGATGCTGCTAATATGCCATCTTTTCCTTTTTTATAAACCCACAATTCAGATTTTTCAACAAATAGTCGTAATTGATCAAGATCTAATTTAATTTGTTTATAATTTTTAATATCGGTTTCACTAACAAGTAATTGTACTTGATTTAAATGTTGCAATGTTTCTTTACGTTGATTAAAATGACGAAATAATAATGATAATGCCCGTGATACCAACGGTTGATAATCATGCATGATTAAATTAAGTAATACTTTAAGAAATGTTTTTCCTTTTGTATCATCCAAATCAAGATTTGGTTCAGTTATTGATGTTAAATTAGAATCAAATATACATTCGATATCTGAGGCTTGTAAATCTGTACCAATCGAGTTGATTGATAGTTCTACAAATTCCAAAAAAAGAAATTAATAAATTCTATTTTAAAAGGTGTTCATGCAATCCCTGCAAGATTAAAGTACGAAATACAATGTAGATGTTATTGATAATCACAAAGATATTGTTTTATTCTATCTATTTTTGGACACATTTTATCAACATCCTTTTTAAAAATCCTTCAGAAGTATAATAATGAAGTAGTTCATAAGGGATAATGAGACATTATTGATTCACGGTCTTTGGTCGTAAATCAACAAAACCTGTCAAAGTTTGTCACGTAGGGGACTGAGACAAGACCTTTACTAAGATGTCTGTGATACGTTATTGTTGAAATATGTTTTTAACGTGTTTGTCATAGTCTGGGGCTATCTATCATGATTTGTGATATTTCCATGGTGTTGTTCTTCCCTGGTCTGTGAGGGGTAGAGGGTACAAGTTTCTACCCTATATGCATGCTTCAACGCTCGTTTTAACATTGTGTTTCATAAAAACAAAATAAATTGACATACCAAGACGATCGTATTTTTGTTTAAATATGGAAATAAGACGCGAAATACGAAAATCAAGACGAATATCAAGAATAAATTCAAGGATAGCGATAACATTCATTTTAGTTTCATAAGCTAAATTATCAAGTATATCGGTTTGTTGTTCAACTACAACATCATTAGCACTGTATGAACTAGTTGTCGAGAGCATATGATCATATTTTGATGCTTTCGAACTCGCTACGATAGTTGTAACTAAAAATTCGAAACAAAAAAAAAAACAAAATTTTAATAATTGAACTCTTTCAAATAATTTAACCTTGTTCAGGATTTGACTGACGAATATGTGATGATAAAACTTTACTAGTATCAAGAATTCCAAGTAATGTTTGAGTTAATTTAAGTAAATCTTCAAAACTATAAAAACCAAAAAATATTAAACGACGAGCTAAATTGACAACCTTAAGAGACAAAAAAAAAGGAAAGAAAATAATTTTCAAAAGAAAAATTAAACTTCTTTATTTTACTTCATGTGTTAATTTATTTTGTTCTCTATCAGAAAATGAATTTGGTTGTTCAACAACAGTTTTAAGATAGTCTTCAACAAATTTCATAGTTGCTTCGAATTTTGGTCGATTTTCATTTTTTTCTGTTGGTTCAAGCGAACCACTTATTGTTTGATCATACCTAAAAACAAATTTTTAAATAAAACAAAGAAAACTTATGATATTTATTAATCAAAAATTTACTCATTTAATGAAATAGCTGATTTAACTTGATTCCATAATCGTGCATATTTAATGCGTGTTACTTCTTCTTGTGGATCACGATTAACATGCATATGAACCATTAAACGACAAAATGCTGCACGTAAATCAGCTGGAAGATTTTCACTTTTTGTACATCTGAAATAAAATATAATCTTCAATTACGATAAAATATCTTTTTTAATTTATTTACGTTAATATAAGTTCAATGGATAATTCTAATGATAAATTATCAATAGCTAAATATTGTCGATCAAAACACATATGAGAAAATAAATTGAGTTGATATCTAAGAAAAAAATAAATAAATAATTATCAAAATTTTGAACTATTATATTTATATGAAAATTAATCAACCAATTCTTGAATCAATGGATATTGTTCATTGATACTTTTCTGATGATTAAATTTTATTAAAAATATTTGTTGCGAATGTTTATAAGCGCTCACGTCATTGATTCTCATAACAAATTACATCAATTTGCTTGATATAAAAACGAAATCAATAATACAAATAATCTTTGAAAACTTTCTAATTCAATAATTGAAAATATTCTGTCAAACATCATTTGTACGGATATGTATTTTCAGTATATTGGTTATCAACAAACTCATATCGGCGTCAACTGACTACATGCATATTGATGTTCATTTCGGGATATACAGTGTCAATTTATTGACTATTGACGTCGTTGAGTTAGTGTAGTTAATACACAGTGACACACGAGAACCGGTGTTCAATGGAACATCAATAGAAAAAAAGTCATATTTTGATAGATTAGTATCTTACTATTACAGTAAAGATTAGATCTCGTCTCGTCGAAAGCATAATTGATTTTCCTGTTTCGTCAAAAATTTATTTTTCTTCCATTTTCGTTTCGTCGAAAAAATAAATTCTGCTTAATCAACGAAGAATAGATTATATCATTTGATGAGATCTTTCATCATACTAATCAGGAATAGTGCCTAATTACTTGTAGATAAATTTGTCAAAAAAACTTTATGATAGAGAAGATTTAGATACATAAATAAGAAATTATTAAGAGAAAATATGAATATAGAAAAGAAAACAATACTTTTTTATTCCGATTAATCATAGAAATTTTTCAAGGTATTTATTCAATTATAATGTTTCGTGTTTAAAACGCTCGTTTAATTTGTGTAATCGTACATTTCGATTAACAAATAATTTTTTTTGTGGAGGTAATATACCAGTTGCTTAATGATGAATGAATATAGCGAAAAAATTGAATTTCCCATTTTTCTTTTGCACATATATACTTTTTCAAAAATGCAGATTACTAGTATAGAGATATTAATTAATTTCTTTTTAAGGAAATAGTTTAAGTCAATCAAAGAAATCTAGATTATCAATATAATTACACTATTTTTCATGACAGTTTAATTTTTCGACGAAACGGAAACAGTCACTTTGTCATTTTCGACGAAACAGGAAAATCAATTAAGCTTTCGACGAAATAATAGAAATCCACCACAGTAAAGACGGATATCAGCGCTTCACTAAACATCAATTTCAGTGTAATTAGTGCCTCAGTGGACTCTGTTTTAGTGACATCACTGTTAATATTTTACTGTTTTCATCGGCACTGCAAAGCCTAATTATTAGTGAAAAAAATATTGTTTGGTTATTGGCTATTTGAATTCAATATTCGATTATAACTGAGCAGTAGTTAATAGCTTAATTCAACATAGATAAATTTGTTCCCGAAGGAATCCAAACCGAAACTAAGATAATTGATTGTATTTATATCTAATTGAGCGTCTAACAAGAATAACACGACCGGCTAAATGAGTTGCTGATATATCAGCACGAAATTGCATATTTATAGATGATAGTAAAGAATATTTTCAAGCTCAATACGAACAAAATTTTTGTTAAATTTGATATCAAAACTGAATCTTTTTTGATTATAAACTAAAATGCGTGATCCAACTTATGTCTTAACGTAACTCTATTCAAACAACTACCGGCTAAAAATGTTGCTACCAATCTGTATATGTTAATTATGAGAAGGATGTTTTTTTCAGTTTTCTGATATAATTACCTATAATATTCTAAAATATTTCGAAATTCTTCTCGTCTTGGATGTGCTGGTTGATCTCGTACAACACCGGCCATAAATTCAATTGATTCAGATTTTCCATCCCATGTTAATATTACCTCACGTAAAATATTTTGACTTGAAAAACCCATTGGTGGACTCATATTATCATCTAATATCATATCTTCAACACATCCTTTTGTTTCAAGTCTAATTAATATAGAAGAAAAAAAGAATATTTTTAGCAAGAAAAAAAAAAATGAACAAACTTTGTTCGTATTAAAATATCGGAATTTTTTTCTAATACAGATTTACATATCATTTCTTGTGTTCTAGCTATAGCTTGATTACTTGATACACATAAATCTGATAAATACTCCAAAAATCTTTAAAAAAAAAGATAAGAAAAAATTATTATAATTTTTTTTCATGGCAAAAAAAACAAATGACATTACTTGCAATCTCGTTTTTCTCTTAATAATTTAACAAATGTATCGATTTCTTTTTCAGTAATATGTTTTTCTAATAATTTTTTATTATTATGCAATAAAGCTGTTATTGTATCTTCAGCTAGAATATCATAACCAATTTGAGATTGCATAAAAGAAAATTCTTTTGCAATTGTTTCCTAAATAATTATTTGATTTAAAAAAAAAATAAAACAATAAATCAAACTAGGAAATTATTGACTTTTTACTTGATTTTTTCGATAATCTTGTTGACAATGTTTAAGTGTACGATAACAAAGACGACATATTGTTTTTATTTGATAAAATGTTGTTGAATAACGTACATCAGCATCTTGTTGTTGTGGTAACATAGATGAATCATTATTTGTTATAGCTGAACTTTGATATTGATGAAAATAATAATCTGAACGTGTTCCTGAAGTATTTGCTGAATTTACACTTGAACGTTCTTGCTCTAAGCGTGGTTTTAATACTCGAAGAATACGAAATAACTATTTTAAAAATAGATCTTCTTTTTATGATTTATTTTTATTTTTATTTCATTATTACTTGTTTTAGGATATTCTGTTCACGTATTAGTTTTTGTCTTTCACGATTTGGTTTTATGATTTGTATATCAAATGGATCAGTACCATTATTTTCTTGGCAAGCAAGAAAATATACAATATCAGTTAAGAGCATTATGACTTGCCTAAAACAATCAATTTCAAAAGAGAATGTCAGTAAAAAAACAAGCTGGTATCATTTTGTCTTATTGACATTTAGTTTGTTTGTTTGTCTTTATCGTCTGACCTATATCTGTTATATAAACTCAATAAGTTAGATATCTATTCGAGACCTATCAACAGCTCTAATTATCCTATTCAATATTTAGAATTATTTTGTCAGTCAATATGCTCATTTTAAATATATTATTTTGATACAAAGAATTTTCAATCTCAACTTAATACTTTAGGTTGTTTTTCTCTAATAAATACTGGCATGTTATTATTAGTAGGAATTTCTTCATTGTAAAAAATGATCATCAGTCATTCGTATCAATAAACAGCTTATTGCGTACATCTGTGTTTCTATATGTTGTATTATACATCTTTTTTACTAATATCTACAGCACATTGCAAAGTATCCTAAAGCGGATAATATATTGAATTAAATAGAAAATACGCTATTTATTTAACTAGTTGTAATCAGCTACAGAAATCTTTCTATTATAATACATAATTTATTATTTAATTTTTGACAATAATTGAATAATTTCTTAATTCTTCCAAAAATATTTTTCTTTATCGAAATATCATTGTGATGAAGAACAAAAGAAAAACAATTAACTTTCTTTAAATATCTTTGTGTTGTATCAACTTACATTCTATGTTTTTGTTTCTGTTTATCAACGAAAGAAAATGATTCATGAATTTCTTCGAATCATAATAATGATTCATTATATCTTATTAGAAATTTTTCAAATATGTAATAGCTTTTACTTACTTTCTATCATTAGCATGTACATTCATAACTCCAATTTTTTCCCATTTTGATACCGTCATATCAAAATGTTGTGCAGCATCATTAGCAAAATCTAAATCTCGTACTTCATCTGGTGAAACATGTACTATTTGAAATGCTTCACGATCTTCTTTTGTTAATGCACAACCAATTTTAAAACGTACATTATCATCATCGGGATCTAATTTTATATTTGTTGAATGTACCCATGTACTTGTACATATGTGTTGTAAACGTACATATGAACCCCATGGTACAGCTTCTTCATTACGTGTTATTGTTGTTGGATCAAGTTCAAATATCGATGATATATCATAACCATGTGGAATAGGTACAAGAGCAAAAACCGGTGTACCTGGTGGACCACGTAATTTTTGTCGTGTTGCATCAAACGTTTGATCATTATCAACTTCAGCTGCAAGATATTGTCCTGTAGCTAAATGTTTAAAACGAAACAATGAACTCCATTGGCCAATACCACCACGACATGGATCTTGTTGTACAACTTCTATTTCCCATAATGCATTTGATGATGTTGCTGCTGTTGCTGATACACGACCAGTAGCACGTAAAAAAACAACACTTTTTTTTCGATAATTATCACATGTTAAAAATTTTTCTTGTTCAGCATGAAATAAACGAACAATATCGCCCTTGATAAAACCAAAAAAAGATTTATATATCAATCTGTATCATTATTAAAATTAGAAACTTTATCTTACACTTTTAAGTACTTCATTTGTTGCTTCACGGCATGACATAAATAAAACAATTTTCCAACTCGTTTGAAGATGAGAATTAACCTATTCGTAAAACAAATTCTAATGAATATTGATCAATTGTATTTGAATAAAATGTGATTCGACTCAAACAAACATTCATGTAAAAGCGGCGGGATATTGCGGTGCATGCGAAATCATTAGAATACAAATTAAAATTGTATATATTGGTCATTTTAGTTTTTAAAAACTCATTATTCTATTTTAAAAGTAGATCTTCATGAAAGTATAACAAGAAAAATTATTTTTTATACTCATATAAGCGCAATAAAAACACTTCATACAAGTCAAATGAACTAGTTCTCATCATTACAATCAATTAATGTTTAATTTTAAATTTCTTTAACAAAAAGAAACCTATAAGCACTTCATTTTCTGAATGAATTTTAAAAGAAAACATTTCAAAAATTTTCGCACTAAAGATTTATATGAAGATCTACTTCTAATAAAAGATTATTACAAACAAAGAAGCAACTTTATATTAATAAACAGGCAAATAAAACATTAAAAAAAACAACATCTTCTTCTCTAGTCATCATGATATTTGTCTACAAATACACATCAAACATACGGAAGTATACGCATAACAATTGACCTAAATAATAGAGAAAAAAGACAATCACATAACACATGCAAGAATAAAAAAAAATAATTCCATTGCATTTCAAACTAAATAAATCATCTCTTTCTTCTTTTCTTTTCTCAATACCGTATGAAGATTAATAACGCTGCAACACTAGAAGAGAACAATTTTTAGTCTTTTTGCCATTTTAATTATCTCTCTAGTTTTGAAATTTTATACAAAAAACATTATTTCATGCTTTATGTGAAAATACAAAGAAAAATTTTGCTTTTGTGTGTGTATGTACATACTTCTTTGGAACCAGGATGATCTGGTAGTTCTAATTCACTGACATGTAATGGTTGTCCACCACTATATGGCATAAGTACGACTTTATCACCGACTACAACCTATAAATCATATTTGTTTTCTTGACAAGAAATATTAATCATATAAAATAAAATAAACGTACGCGTTCGCCTTTTGCTCGTAATTTATAATAAGGTTCAATTTGAAACCATGAACCTTCAGTACCACTATTATCGAGGGAAACACGCATAGCATTTTTTTCCAAAAATGCTGGTAGACGTTTATTCACGGTTAAATATTTATTACTTTTTATATGTAGTAACTGTACAATAGTATCGCCATATTTTATTATAGTACCAGTTTGTTTTCGACTTTCTTCTTCATTTTGACGTTTTTCTGTATCAGCAGCAAGTTGTAATTTTTTTAAATCTCTAACACTATTTGAACTTTTTAATGCATTCCAATATTGAGTTTGAGCGCTATATCGATGACTTGGACAAATACGAAAAAGACAATCTATGAGAAAGATCAAGCAAACAAAAGAAAACCTTGAAATTTTCGTTTACCTCGAAATTTTTTTGGTGGTTTTTGTAAATCACCGGCATCAGGTTGTACGACACATCGGTCGTCAACAAGACTATCAATTTTATACAAACATATTGAAATGAAATAACAAAACAACAATCTATCATACCCAAGAGTACTAATAAATCCACAAACAGTCCCTTCGGCATATAAAGCTACTGTATCACCAATTTTAAGAAAACTTGACGTCAAATTTGACTCCATCGTATCATCAACTGACGTCTAGTTGCTTACCTACAATAAATAGCATAGAAGAAAAGAAACGAATGATTTTTTTTTCTTAATAGATGATAGACCCTGATGAATAACGAGTATGTTGTGTGCATGTAGCAATTATAATAGAACAAAAGGAAAAAAAGAAAGAATCGATCTTATTTCTTTTTTTTCTTTTGCTGTTTTTTCCTTCTCTTCTCCTCCTCGTTTCTTTCTTCTTCTCGATGATTGATAAGAGATTGATAGAGCACAAGGTATTCGTTTGTTCTCGTCGCATGACTATTGATAGAGACCAAAAAAAATAAATGTCTATATTTATAAATATGTTCTGATGAAAAATATTTGCATTATAATCGGATTATTCTACCAAAAAAAAAACTCAATTATAAACAATTTAGAAGATTTTCCACATTAAACGTTGCTAAAAAATCTCCTAAATCAATCATAATTTTGATTTTTTTATACAATTATCCAAGTCTAATTGTGATATTTTCCACTGAATACCTGTTCTATTATGAATTATTGATAAATTCATATAGGCAAAAAAAAGAGAAAGCTTTCTAATTCTCTGACGTTTGTCCTCAGGTTTTCATCACTTTATCTACAATAAATAATATCAAGAATAATTATGGCAATGAAAATATAAACCTTCAGGTTTCCAACAACTCTTACCACATAAAACAAAAATGAATTGGTAATATGCTCTCGATTAACCCTCATCACATGCGCAAAGTGGTTGATAGGTTTATGCATAATATATTCTTCTTATGAGAAAAAGAAAACGTGTGTAATAGTTATGTTTTCTTCCTTTTTTTATTATTATAATGGCAATGTTGACTATTACTAGTATTTAGTGCTTTTTTTTATTGCACCAGAAGAAGAAGAAGAAAATGGAGGAAAAGAAGAAAAAACTTACGACGTTCTAAACAAAATATAGAAGAAACAAGAATGATACATGGCTAGTGTTCTCACGTTTATCGCAAGAAGCAACAATGTATATCATCTATCTTCAGCTAAGACTAGGATGAGATGCGTTCTATCGTCTAGCCGCCGATGTATATGTAATTATCGTCTCGCGAATGTGCCGATGGTGATACTGGAAAAACATAGTAACAGACATTTGTGCATCTCTTCCTTGCTCTAAATTAAGAGAACAGGAAGAAGAAAGGAAAGGAAAAACATAAGTTGATCGTAGAGTAACGAAGAAGAAAAAAACAGACAGAGCAAGAAAATATGGGAGAGATAGAACATTATTTCCATGCATCTATTGAACAAAGTCAAGAGTCGATTATCGTAGTTTATCTAAGTCAATTTCTTTTTGTCTATTGTGAGAGTGGATGCATTCTATCTATATTAAAATAACGGTAATACATGACAACATCAATTTCGTTCATTTGTTGTTTCAATAGACTATAGCTACCAATTTATTACAAAAAAAAAAAAAAAAACTTCTATGCAATATCACACATACGCGTATAATCAATTAACAGATGAGACAAAAAGACATGCTGAGTGGAGAATATCTATTGCACATGCTTACATATGCATTGATTTTATCATTCGATGAAAAAACAGACAGTAGAACTGATATATTATTGCTTTTTGATCTTTAATAGCATATGGTGTCTTTATTCTTATACATTCTTAGTGATTATAATGCTATAGATCTTTCATCATCAAGAAGATTTAATATCTTGAAAAGAAAAGAAACGAAAAGAAAAGAAAAAGAAAGCAAGTAATTGATGATAAAGAACAATTTGGTCATACTTTTTCTAATAAAAAAGAAAGAAACGTCCGGTGTTTTTTTTTCAAATATCCTGATAATAATCGTAAGAACACTTTTATTTTCCTTTCTCAAACTCAACAAGGTCAAACAATTGGTAAATGTATAGGGAGAAGAATGAGAACACTTCGAACGTTATTTTTTCCTTTAACTAACATCAGAAAATCAAGACATTCACACATAATAATAAATAAATTACCTGATTAAGCATTGATGAAATACAATAACAATTACATATAATATATCACATAAAAAAAACAAATAGCTCTTTCGGCTATATTACAACTAAATAAGCTATTATGACAGCTGAAATATTTCTTTTACGCCAAAGCTAAAGGGGAATATGTCACCTGACGTCCCAAGAGCAACTTTATCTTTCCTTTCTGCGACTTATTACTTTTATAGATATTATGTTCTTGTCATTTTTTATTCGTTCTGTGTGATTTATTCGCCTCAAGAAATCAAACACTTCTCTACTTTATACTTTCTCTTCTGAAGCGTGAATCAACTCGTTATTGATAATGTTTGCTATGCTCTACTCATGCATGAATGATATTTTTTCTCTTTAGTGACAAAATACCTTTGGATTTATTTTAACCAGACGATTATTTATTTTTCTAGGTTCTTTCATTTGTTCTTATTCATGTGATTGAAAATAAAACGAGATTTTCTTTTATATACATGTTTATATGTATTAACTTGGTGACATTCTTCTTCATGAAATGTCAATGTCATTATATCAATTGGAACTGCTCATTTACCAAGCGCACAGATCGATAAACAAAAAAAAAATGTCATCAGCAGGTGGTAAAGAGGGTTATTAGAGTACATATTCTCTTTTCTATTTATTATTATAAGATTATGAATTAATAAGATTTTAGTGTCTTTTTCCACTTGGTATACAACAGTGAAATCAACATATTTAATAATAATACAAAGAACATACATATATTAATCATAAACTGTAGAAAACCTCATTAATGACCTGATTATACAAGGAGAAATATATAATGAATATAGCTATTTCTGGCACATAAATATGATAGTTATAAAAATGTATATTAACATGATAGATTATATGTCTAAAATAATTTCTTTATGTTTATTAAATATTACTTGAGAACACACAGTACTTATGAGATTTCATAAGAACAACCTGATCTTTCTTTTAATGTAAAAGAAAAATAAGTGAGACTACAAAATTAATATGTAATACTGTTTAAAAGGAGTATTAAATATTAATATAGTGGCAGTTTTAGAGATGAATTGGCATGATGGTCGCACCATAAAAGAGTCAGGAATCAAAGTTTAAATAACTTGAGAAATAACATCAGTTTTATAAGGGAAAAAAACATATTTAAGATAAATAGAAGAAAAAAATGGATTACTTATTTCATTATTTATGTAATCGATTCTTACTAATATGCATTATAATCTCCTAATAATATATATAATTATACAATAATCATATATATTGTTATGTAATTGAATGTATTATGCGGACCTCATAAATGTATTATATTTCGAAGCAGTAGAAAAAAATGTTATCTCAAAATACCACTATTGATTAATTCTAAATTGAGTGTTATCTTCAAAATTGTTCGTTAGAAATTTTATTATAATAATAATAATAGATTAATCAATGGGTGAAGATTTCTCAAAGAATTGTTTGCAATTATTTTAGTATTATATAAAGAGTTTGGACACAATAAGCAAGATCGATGAATTCATTCAATTGTAATCAAATAAACATATGCTTATAAAACCATGTCCTAAAATACAAAGTGGACATCAATATTATTCAAAAAAATTTATTTCGAATTTGTTTTTCTACTACCAAAAGCACTGCAAGAGTCCATATAATAGTTCGAGTAGCAAAAATTTTTTCCAACACAAATATAAAGAAATAAATAATTATTATCAATTTTTCAAACATAGAGATTCCACAAAACTAAAAGACTAGTTTTTCAGCATCTAAAACACATAAATATAACTTGTTTAGACTACATAGAACGATAGAGTCAATAATTCTCTACAAAATGAGGTGTCTTGAAGTTCTCTGTGATGGTTTTTAGCTACGATACAGCAATCTGATCGAAAGCCTTAAAATAGGTTTTTGCACGATTTCCTATAAAACAGTCATTTTTTGACCTCCAATCAAATTATTGCATCTCAGCGAAAAAAAAACATTGCAGACAACATGGAGACGGCACATTTTCTAGAGAATTGTTTACTCTAGCGTTCTATGTAGACCAACCAACATTATATTTAGGTATTCTACATACTGAAAAAAATAGGATTTAATTTGCTGGATTTCTTGTTATTAGAAATTTGATAATAATTTTAGTTTTTTTATATTTTTATTGGACATAGTCATAGTTTTTTTTTGCTCGAATTATTATTTGTACTCTTTTTTAGCGTTTACAGTGGCAAAAACAATGTGAAAATAAATCTTTTTGAATAAATTTGGTACTCAATGTATATTTCAAAAATTCATTTTTATCATATTAAGTATCATTATTCGATCGTAAGAATATTTTACAAGTGAGCTACGAATCTAGTTCAGTTTTTGTGAAATCTCAAAAAGGATTATCTTTTCTTGGTCTTTTGCAGATAACCGTCATTTAATGAGTAATTTCTGTCGGTTATCTATGAAAATCATGCAAGCTTAATTTACTACACAAAAAAATATTTGTGTAGCTGTATAAACACATCGTTAAACTTGAATAATATCTTTTTCTACTTATATTAACAAATATTTACATACCATAAGTATTTATTTAGGTTTGGCTTCATCATTGCTAAACATTTAATATACCAAATAACACTGAGTAGATGAAATTTTTTTTTTCATCTATAATGAAGATTTATACTTATTAAGATATAAAATATGAATGCGAATTTATTAAAGTTCTGTAAAAAAAAAATATAATAAATGTTGATTAGATAGAAAAAAGCTTTAGTCAGATGTAAATTTAAAAAAAAACACAATAGAATGTAAAAAATGTAGTGAGATGTTCGATGGAAAACAAAAAGTAAAAGATCAATTCAATAGTTTATTAACCTGTTGCTTTATCTAGCATTTTTTTGCCTTGTTTTGAAGCAAAAAATGTACGCATAGCATTAAGTGCTGAACCAGCTTTAAACCATTCGATTTGTGATTCATTCAATGTATGCTGAAGTTTAATTGTTTCAGTTTCACCATTAG